CATCATCACTACTACTACTACTACTACTACTACTATTACTATCACTAGTAGTATCACTACTACTGATACTACTACTGCTATCACTATACCGGAGCTTTTACACTCACACCGCGATCGAATGAAAAGGCAAACTTTTTCTTCCTTTTCTTTTTTTTTTTTTTTTGTTTTTCTATTTCTCCTCTTCTTCTTCTTCTTCTTCTGCTTCTGCTTCTGCTTCTGCTTCTTCGACGTGGAGAAGGCCAATTTCATCGCGAACCATCGACGGAAAAACTTTTACACTCCTCTCTCACTTAACCTTCCCTTTACATCCTCTCTCTCTCTCTCTCTCTCTCTCGTTTGCTCTCTATTTTACTCTTCAAGCTTATATTACACTTATTTCTTTTTTCTTTTTCGCACCGGTCGACGTTTGATCTCATTTCGATCATGCCTCTTTTATGCTATGTAGCTGTTTTTACTCTTTTTCGTTATTTCCTAGGAAAATTCGTTTCTATACACACATGTAAATATATATATATATATATATATATATATATATATATATATATATATATACATACATATACACATATATACATCATATATATATATATATATATATATGTCATATGACTAGGTAGAGCTAGCTATTCGTCTACTGTCTATCTCTTTTTCCAAAGTAACTACATGTGCACACGTAGTAACGTACTGATAGTTAATTACTGAGTGAAAGATCACCCTGGGAAATCAACGAACGTATTTCTTTCCTTTTCTCTCGTAGATGATGAACACGTCAATACATTGACTATTCTTTTGGTAATAATTCTCTCTCTTTCTCTCTCTCGCTATACATATATATATATATATATATATATATATATATATATATATATATATATCTGTTTATCTCTCTCTATCTTTCTAATGGCCAAGAGAGTGCAAACGTAAATTTTCTTTTTATTTCAGCAATTAGCACTAATCTTCTCTTTCTCTCTCTCTCTCTCTGTCTCTCTCTATCTCTCTCTCTCTCTCTCTCTACCTATCTCTATCTCTTTCTCATTTGCATTTTAGAAGTACGAACTATCATCCTTCGTTTATTTTGTTTCTTCTTTTCGTTTAATCGGAGTTGGAGAGGTGAGGTAGGGGGGCTGGGGTTGGGGGTGGTGAAAGGGGTCGAGTGAATCTTTTTTCTTTCTTTTCTCTCTTTTTTTTTTTTCTTTTTTTCTTTTTTGTTTCTGTTTTTCTTCATTCAAAGCTACCAACAGAAACAGGAGAAGTTCTCTAGGAAAACCAAGCGAGAGGGAGGAAAGGCTCGTTGTAATTTCCGGCTAACGATGTGTTCCCCGTTGCTATCGTCCTTTCCCAAAGAGGAAGATTTCCTCTGCTACGAAATGCAGAGAATGAGAGAGTCAGAATGAGAGAGAGAGAGAGAGAGAGAGAGAAAGAAAGAGAGAGAGAGAGAGAGAGAGAGAGAGAGAGAGAGAGAGAAAAGAAATGCAATTTCGTACGAGTGTCTCTTGGAATGACAAGCATTGGTCTGTGCTCTTAATCTAGATTAATTTAGTAAAATATGAAGAAATAAAAAAGAGAGAGAGAGTGAGAGAGAGAGAGAGAGAGAGAGAGACAAATGACAAATACATTCGATATCTGTGAATATTCTTTTTCTTTTTTTTTTAGTTGAAATTACGAAAAAATTCTCCTTCCGAACGACTGATAATTAGACGCTCATTTCATTTTTTCTTTTTTTCTTTTTTCTCTTTTTTCTAAAAGAAACATTCTATTCACGATTCGCTCGTTAAATCGTAATTAATTAAAGGAATATAGTCGAGCGAGGTATTATAACATATATATACATATATATATATATATATATATATATGTTGTGTGTGTGTGCGTGTGATACTAGAAAAAAAAATTTCTTTTTATCCTTTCCTTTTTTCTTTTTTCGTATTGAGGAGAAAAGAAATTTCCTTTTTTCTAACGACCCCGTCGTAATTAGAATACTTCTCGATATCTAACATTTGTTTTGGAATCCTTTGTTAAATTCCAATTAACTCGAAGGAATTAGTAAATTTGATATATGAAAAAAATATTTTTTGTCTTTCTTCTTTTCCACATTATGGAAAAAAAAAGAAGAAGAAAAAAAATGCTCTCATTTCTAATGACTCATAATTAATAACTTTCTCAATCTTTTCTTTTCTTTTCTCTTTAATTTTTCTTTTTTTTTTTTTTTCTTTTTTCTTTCGAAAGAGAAACATTCACTCGCCAAATAGCTCTGCTCGTATTAATTTCCAATTAATTAAAACGGGGAAATAGTCGTTCGGATTGGGATCGAAACGATTTAATCGCGAATATCTTAAAGCAGTTTAATTCAGTTAACGAGATTTAGCGTTATTGGGATAATTACGGGGTAAGAGGTAGGGGGCTAAGGGTGCCGATTGCACGAGATGGGAAATTCTCATAAAATAACTGAAATCCGAGCACTTATGGAACGAACTCATAGCTATTTTCATGTTCTCCCGGAGAATATAAAGTTTGCTTAGCTTCAGCCGTGGCACTTGGTTGTAGCAGTGCCTGTGTGTTAGAATGTCCACCTTTTTTTTCTTTTTTTTTTTTTTTCTTTTTTGAAGGGTTGCTTTTTTTCTCGTCGACGAGAAAGAAAGAAAGAAAGAAAGAAAGAAAGAAAGAAAGAAAGAAAGAGAAAAAAGAATTAAAACACCGACGAAGGTTATGAGAGAATTACTTTTAATATTATAATTAACTCCTGTTGTTAAAAATTCTGGAAAGTCTGAAAAGAAAAGAGATTAACAAAAAAAAAAAAAAAAAAAGAAAAAAAAAAGAAGGAAAAAGAAAATTTGTAAAAGGGAGTAATCATTATCGTCAATCATCTTCTCTATTTCATTTCTCTATTTCATTGAAAATCTAATATCGTCTCCTCGGATCGAACGTTCAATACCAATAAAATATCCTTTCTCATCGAAGACCTCGAAATCTGAACACAAAATAATGATCCCTTCTAAGAGCATTCTGGCGGAAATTAAAGGGCGTTCCACGACGTTGCCTCGAGACGTAGGAGAGAGAGAGATACAGAATGAGAGAGAATAACCTATAAGTAGAGAGAGAAAGCGTTGTATATATATATATATATATATGTAGAAAGAGAGAAAGAGAGAAAGAGAGAGAGAGAGAGAGAGGGAGGGAGGGAGGGAGGGAGATCACAAGGTTTTGAGCTTTTCAGCAAACACACCACTTGCTACCTTCGGGCTAGACAATCATCCGTTCTTCATATTCAGATGTATCTAATAGTAAGTACTTTACTCGTTTCAAATCCATCGGCGATTATTTGAAAAAACAAATTTCTTTCATTTTTTTTTTCTCTTTTTTTCTTCCCTTTCGTTCTTTATTTTTTTTTCTTTTTTTTTTTTTTTTTTTTTATTTCCTTCCATTTCTCTTTCTCCTATTCAATTACTTAATTTCTGTCAAACATTGTTGATATCCGGCGATTAGCAAATCGATCCATTTTATTGGTTAAAGTTTTTCAATGATTTTAGAGGAGGACAAAAAAAGAATAAATTTGAAGTTTAAAGAGAAAAAAAAGAGAAAGAAAAGTCATCGAAAGGCTTATTAACGAAAAAACAAAGGACAAATTGTTATCTAATAATTTATCCAAAATATTCGTACTTATTGACGAATTCATTTTAATTACAAAAACAATTCACCATTGGATTAATGAAAATATTAATTGAATGAAGAACAATAAAAGAATATTATCAATTCTCTTTCAATTTCTCATTCAATCAATAATACTTATAGAATATTACATATTATGTAATATTACATAACTCGTTTGTTTGTATATCCAACTGTAAAATTCATCCTTTCATTTCTATTATTAATTAGCTTATTTGTCAAAGTGAATTTTATCTATCGAATTTATTCGTTCAATTTTTTCATTTTTTCTCTCCATCCCCCCCTCCTTTCGAATGATAGTACTTGGTCGTTCGTTTAATCCGCCTTAGCTTTGAATCTTCCTATTCTCTCTCTCTCTCTCTCTCTCTCTCCTGCTTCTTCTTCTTCTATTCTCGCTTCATCTCTTTCTATCAGTCTTGGTGAACACGATCGCCATTGCGCCAGGTGAATCATGCTCCATAAGAACGTTTAATCCCTCGAGAAGATTGGAAAAATTCAGAGCCGAACGGAATCCAAGTTGGATCTGCGTCTCTCTCTCGCTCTCGCTCTCTCGCTCAGTCTCATTCTGTCTCACTGTCTCTTTCCGATTCTTTCCTTCTATCTATCTATGTATCTATCTATCTATCTATCTATCTATCTCACTTCCTCGTTTTTTATCTATACCGTCCTCATGCTTTTAGTTCCTAGAACCCTAGAGACTACTTCGACGAATCTGGACACGAAGTCCAAGGATTTTAAAGGTGACGAATTCAGGATTAATCCTCAATCCAAACTGATTCTCATCGATATTCCCTAGCCCATGTTCTCATAATTAATCGTAGGTTCTTTCTTCTTCTTCTTCTTCTTCTTCTTCTTCTTCTTCCTTTTCTTTATTATTGATTTTTCTTTTTTTCTTTTTTTTTTCTTTTTTTCTTTTTTTTTTCTTTTTTTTTTTTTTTTTTTTTTTGAATGAATGAATGAACGAACGAATTCCAATTACTCGAAGCAATTCTTTTTTTTTTTTCTTTTTTTTTTTTTCTTTTTTTAATAATGATTCATTCATTGAAATCGTGTTAATATACTTCGATCTAATATAAAAGAGTGGACTCTTAAAATTTACCAAGACGATTATTAAAAATTGATTATTAAATTTTTCAAAATATTTAAGATAAATTTTTCTTGGCTTTTTTTTTTCCTTTCTTTTTCTTTCTTTTTTCATATTTCAATGCTACGATACTTTTGTATCATCCAGGAAAATCATTTGTCCAACTTTGTATTATAATAAAAAAATAAAAATGAAAGAAAAAAGTAAATTATAAAGCTTAACTCTAAAATGGTTTTTTTTTTTCGCTTACCTTAACAACATCCGACTCTTCGTAGAAAATCCAAAAAGGATTTGTCACATTCTTTCGTCGATCTATTAAATCGCGTTCGTGGCGACGACTCACGTCGCACGTTGCCTCGTCGCTCGCACGATTTTTCTTCTAACACGAGAGTGTCATCGATCTGAAAATTAAAGAATACAAATATATTAGATATATATATATATATATATATATATATATATATATATATATATGTATGTATATGTAAAAGTAGAACAAAGCAAAAGAAAAGATATAATATACGTCTATAATTCTATTAAATGTAACGACTTTATATATTATTTCGATTCGCCAAAGTTCGACTTTAATATCATTTAGAATACTTTATAACATAATTAAATCAGATATTATCGAATGGTCGTGTAACGATATAATCAAAATAAAACATTTCAAAATTGTTCATCGATACGATATAATAAATTTTAATAAGAAGAATCCATGTAACATCGAATTGAAATAAATAAGTACAAAAGTTCTCGAGTATGAGATTTTGAGAGAAAAAGATTTTTTTTTTATCGAGACCTTTCTTAGATTAATTTTTGTTTCCTTTTATTTTTTTTTCAGCTCAGAAAGTAATGTCGACGAAATTTAAATATCGCGTAAAAACTTTTGACAAAGAAGATGGCAAAAGGGATCGTCGATTTTGTTTACGATTGATCATGGATCAACTTGGAAAAAAAAAAAGAAAAAAAAAAAGAAGAAAAAAAAAGAAAAAAAGAAAAGAAAAAAGGAAGAGAATAAAAAGGAAAGATTTTAAAGGAAGAGAAAAGAAATATAATAGAAAAAAAGATCAATTTCAATCATAAAAAATAGAATAAGGAAGAACGAGGATAATTAATACGTACGTTGATCGAACGTGAAAACGTTTTCAGGATCAATCAAGAAGATCAAGCAAGCGAATGATCGATCGATCGATCAAACGATCAATTGGAGAACAAGTACAATTACTGATTAGGATTATCCTAAATTAATTGAGTTAACCGGTGATGTTATCGGCATCGTTGTAATAGTTACTACGTGGTACAACCGCTTTCATGTCCAGCCACAATAGAAATGGGGATGGTCCGGAAAACGAGTAACTATATATACACATATATACATATACGTGCACGCAAACACACATATACGAGTATATGAAGAAGAGAGTGAGAGATAGAGAGAAAGAGAGAGAGAGAGAGAGAGAGAGAGAGCGAGAGAGAGAGAAATAGAAAGAGAAAAATCCAATACGTACATACATTCGAAGCGCACTTACTCGTGTGTTTCTTTTTATCCAGAATATAAACCGATCGAAGATCGGTACCAACGCCATTATTACTCCCACGATAATTCAGTTTGCCTCGGTATATTTCGCTTACACGAGTATTCGTTGTGTCTACACGTACTATATACCTACATACGTTAATACGTATCTACGTATTTCTGTATATATATATATATATATATATATATATATATATGTATATGTGTGTGTGTATAGGTAAGTACATATATGTCGAAGAGCCGACGGTGGGCCCACAATGCGGTAGCAATTTTCCTGTAATTACATCGGCCAAGATCAGAGTTCCCTTCATTACTGATGCCAAGCACGTCTAGTGGAGCTAGTATGGACCCTTCTCTCTTTACCCTTCACCCCTTGCCACATATCTCTCTCTCTCTCTCGCTCCATTCCTCTCCAATAGAGTAACGTCTACACTATCGATAGCAAACTTTCTCTCTCTCTCTTTCTCTCTATCTCTTTCTCTCTTTCTCTCTCTCTCTCTCTCTCTCTCTTTCTCTCTTGCTCTTTTTCTCTCTATACAATATCCCTTTCGTTTTAATGAAAATGATCCTATCCTAGGATACTATACCGATAGTCTTTACTTTCTTATTGGTCTCCTCTTTCTCCTTTTCTTCTTCTTTCTTCTTGCATTTCTTTCTCTCTCTCTCTCTCTCTCTCTCTCTCTCTCTCTCTCTCTCTCTCTCTCTCTCTCTCTCTCTAATGAAATTGCTGCTGTGCACGTACGTGCCTGCTTTGAACTCGCGCACGTATCGAAATACATTGGTGTTTTGTGTAATAGAACCGATCGAGCTTTCGCGAACTTGAGACTTTTCTCTTTTTCTCTCTTCCTCTTTTTCTCTCTCTGTCTGTCTGTCTGTCTCTCTCTCTCTCTCTCTCTCTCTCTCTTTCTACGCACATACACACACACACACACATACACACAATCATCCAATTGCGTTTATCAAAGAACAAAAATTTCTACACTAGAAACAGTAGTTCGATTGGAAACGACGTTACGAGTTTTAGGACGGACGAACGAACGAACGAACGAACGAACGAACCGTAAAAGTCAGTTCGAGTTGGTCAAAAGTTTGTAGATTTTTGAAAATTGAAATATCAATTATATTCTCTGTTTTTTGTTATTATTTTAAAAATCTTTAAAACTTTCACATTGACCATTTCTTTTCTCCATCGTTTCTTTTATTACATTCAAATCGTAAAAACAACGGTGGCCAGGTCAATTTGAAAGATCGAAGAAATAAAAAGAAAGAAAGAAAGACCAAAGGGAAAAAGAAGAAAAAAAGAGAGAGCGAGAGAGAGAGAGAGAGAGAGAGAGAAAGAAAAGGAAAAAAGAAATAAAGGAAAGAAAAGTGTCTGAGAAAAGAAGCAATTCTATTTTTCAAAAATTACTTCAATAACGTTTGATCGTTCGGAATAATATAATGGACGTAAAGAGAGTATTAAGATCGATTTCTCGTTATCATATTGATATCAACAAGAAGATTTATCAGACGAAAACATTTCTCGTAAAGATAAAAAGTATGTTGTTGCAACGAGATGGTGGAAAGTCTCTTTGTAAATAATATTCTCGGTTAATTCTCGCGGTTCTACGTGCTCGGGAACGTTCTACTCGCATTACCGGATTTAGAAGAGGTCGGAGTTATAAATCCTTAGCTTCTAAGCTTTTTACCACTTTTATTTCCGCTGTTCTACCCACCAACCATCCACCCACCCCCCTCCCACTTCCATTGAGCTTGGAACAAATATTTTAAGAAAAAGAATTCGCTCCATGGAATCGACTCTCTCTCTCTCTCTCTCTCTCTCTCTCTTTCTCTCTTTCTTTCTCTCTCTCTCTCTTTGTCTGTCTCTGTGAAGGTAGAGAAAAAAAAATGTCTCTACTATGCATAAGAAAAAGAAAAGAAAGAGAGAACAAAAATTTATATATAGATAAAGGAATAGAAAGAGAGAGTAGTAAGCCAGTTAAATATTAGTTGTATTACAAAAGAAAAAAAAAAAAAAAAAAAAAAAAAAAAAAGGAAAAAAATGAAATAAAATAATTTTAATTATTTTATCACAATTTTGTTATAATTATTTGTTGATTAACTTTTTTTTTTTCGTAAAAAGAAATATGAAATAAAATAAAAAATAAAATAAAATAAAATAAAATAAAATGAAATGAAATGAAATGAAATAAAAAATTAGACTTATGGGTGAAGGTCTCACCAATTTGTTCTTTCTTTCCTTCCTTTTTTTTCTTTCAGATTCTCGGGTCATCCTTGAGAGAGAGAAAGAGAGAGAGAGAGAGAGAGAGAGAGAGAAAAGGACAGATAATGCAATGTACGAGCGTAGTAACTGGACGATGTATATACCTCGGACAAGCTGGACGAGAACGAGCGAAAAGATCTGTGTGGAGGAGGACAAGAAATAAATTTATCGCCCTCTACTCGCGAGCTGCCATAAAATTCGGCGCTATACTGTCCAGGGTCTAATGAAAAAGCGACGAAAGAGAGAAGGAGAGAATGAGAGAACGAGATAGATAGATAGAGAAAGAGAGAGAGAGAGAGAAATAGAGAGAAAAGAGAACTCAATGTGCAATGGCGAAGGTGACCGTAGCAATCCGATAGAGTTCTAAACCTTACCACATACGAGAAATCAATTAACTGTATTTCTTCTCTTTCCCCTTACTTTCTATCTTCTATTCCAATTACTTCATCCTATATGTACATATAAATAAATAAATAAATAAATAAATATATATATACATATTTATTTATTTATTTATAATAATATAATAATATTTTTCTATTTCTAGTAATAAAAATATTTTTCTTTCTTTTTAATTTCAGTTGTATGATCAAATTAAATAATTACAGAAAAGTGTAATAATATATAAACATTGAGAGAGATAATAACGGCGAAGTGTGCTTAATGGAGTATTAATTTTGTTGCTCCTTTTTGTTTGTTTGTTTTTTTTTATTTTTTTTTTTTTTATTTTTTTTTTTTTTTTTTTTTTTCTTATACGTTATTTAAATTCAATTAAAAAGTATAAGGCGGGAATATATACCTTCCTATTTATGATAATAAAAATATATATACATATATATGTATATATAACAAATGAAGTGAAATGTATTTAATGAAGTATTAATTTTGTTATTATTTATTTTTAGCTCTTCATATTATTTAAATTCCATTAAAATTGTAAACCATGAATATATTTTCCTGTTTATAGTAATAAAAATATATTCTTTTTCTTTTTTTCTCTTTCTTTTTTTTTTTTTTCTTTTATAATATAATCGAGTGAATAATCAAATTAAATTGTTACCTGAAGAGTTTATATTGTATCGAAGAAGATAATCAATAAAGTGTTCTTAATAAAGTATTAGTATTATCATTCCTCTTATTTCTGTTTTTTCTTTTTCTTATCTTGGTCATTTAAATTCCATTAAAATTGTATCAGTTTTATTAATACTTTCTCTGAATTTTTTTTTTACCTTTCTTTTCTTTTATTTATCTCTTTCTCCTTTCTTTCTTTCTTTCTGTCTTTCTTTCTTTCTTTCTTTCTTTCGATCGAACGAATATCCCCGCACGAGAGATCACGTCGAGATAACGTAATATTCTGCATACATATATATATATATATATATATATATATATATATATATATATATACATAACAGAAGATCACAAAAATTAGCCTGGCCATACAGTTTTGGAACTGGATGCAAAATTAAAAAATAAATAAAATATAATTTTCACGAGATGAGTATAAAAAAAATGAGAGATATAACACGAAACGCGAAAGAAAGAGAGAGAGAGAGAGAGGGAGAGGGGGGTATTAATACATGTAATAACGTGCACAT